TCAACGAACCAATATTTCCTGTGGAACACTTCCTGCCAAGGTCAGAATATTTACACTCAATGTCCGCCTCAAATATTTGCCCTAAGGTGTACACTCCACATGTTTCTCCTGTCCTGGCCATTAAAGGGGTGACAGGTGGAAACAAACTTTAGAGAGACAAGCCTGCAATAATGAAGTTTGAAATTGTCCGGTCCATCACTTGGACTGGATAGCAGTGAGGTGTCCGTTATTATTCTGCATCGTTCAGTTGTTTAAAGTCAACTTTGCTATCGCACACCTGGCAGACCAGATTTGGAAAAATTATGCAATGTTTGCTTCCTGCAAAACCTGGAGAAGTTCTTAAAAAATGCAACATGTTGGTCATCTCAAAGACATTCGTCCGGCAATATTGTTAAATATTTGATAACTTGGTGATGACGGTGTGCGAGGACTCCAAACTTAAAATTTATAATAATTTATTAATTCAAAACATTCAAATACCACAAACATAATGCTCTTCGAGGAGCTGTTATTATCTTTTTTTTTGTGAATTATGTAGGAATTAGGGTTCGAAATATGAAACGTAATCAGTAAAACAGCTTTCCTGCCCTTCACTATCTTTAATGAAACATCCTTCTCAATGTAAAAAAACAACAATTACAATGAAAATATTTGGTAACTTTTGATATCTTTGACATGTGTCTGTCCTTATGTCTCCTTGCTGCTTTGCACAGTGTATATTGTTGAATTTGAATTTTGGATTCAGTACAAACATTTTGTCGTTGCTTCCATTTATTTCGTGGTAATAGTGACTGCTTATCTTCACCACAAAATTAATAACTTCATTTTTTATTTAAAATTTTTGACCAAATATATAGCAATAATATTTATTATCATTTTAATTTAAACTACTTTAACATTAAATTGCAAACTGAACCTTACAGTGTAGTGTTTACCTACAACACAGTAATACTGATACAGGATGGCCTCGGACTCCCTCAAACATTGACGCTCATACAGAAATGGTGACAGTTAGAGCATCTTTGTAGGCTCACCTTGGTTGAGATCGTGCAACCACGTATCAAGGCTGAAGTCTTTGCTGCAGCAGCTATGGGTTTGAGTCCGACCTGTGGCCCTTTGCCTTGTGTGTCATTCCTCTCTTGTCCTCTCCTGTCACTCTCTCCAAGTTGTCCTGTCTAACAAGGGAAAGGGGAAAAAGCCCCAACCTTAGTGTGTAATATGAAAGCAAAAAGTTGATAGTTAGAGACGAGGATGTTGTCTGGTCCCATAAAACTGTTTCAAACTGTTCAAAACTAACCACACATATTGATATTTCTAATATGTTGTGGGTTAGTTTGAACATTTTTAACATGCATCCACTCCATCCTTGATTAAAGGGAAAGTCGACTTGGGGACTACAGGTGTGGTTGGTATGAAGGCTATGTAGTTGATCCCAGCCAGCACCCTTTACTACCAAATGTAAAGCATTTTATGAACACCACAGCACAAACCCACAACATTGTTGCTAACCAGGTGTTGACGCAGATCCAGGGCTTTTATGACCAACATTCATTTTTTTTTAATGGATAACTTCCTGCAGGATGTCATTATTTGTGGCATGTTTCCAAGCCACTTGACAGTGGCTTTAGTTATTCAACACCACTCACTTCAGCTGACACATTTCAGATGAAGACAGTCTGCAATGCTTTACAGCAGCTGTGGTCAGGATCCCCAAATCTTATTTCTGCAACAAAATATTGTTTTTCAGACCTATTTTCTCATTTTTTTTAAAATGGAGCATTCTGTAATTACTGTCCCCCAGTGCCGGGGGTATACATTACATAAAGAGAGACCCCCACAATAATATGAACACTTACAGTTCAATACAGTTAAAAAATGATGGTTTAAGCAAATAACCAGCGCTAACCTTCCTAAACAGCCTCAAACCAAACCATATAGTAAACTACACAGAAGTAGCCATTTGCAGGGTTTGTTTGTATTGCATCAAATTCCACAGGTGTTATGTTGTTTTTATGTTCTACCCCTTTATGTGTGTGTCCAATTGTTTCTCGTGTGTTTTTACTGTGTATTTCAACAATGAATGCATGAGTAATATATTTGCATGTATTGCGTTATGCCCACGCCAAATACCATTCGTCCGTTCTGTGAGCATTTTGTGTCTCCTCATATCTTTTGGAGTGTAGTCAATTCCTCTCCCTAAGTTACTGTTTGTCAATGTCAGACATGTGTGGACCTCCACCTGCACTTGTTTTCTCATAACCTGTTTCACCAGGTTTTTTCTTGTCACCTCCTCCTGTAGCTACTACATAACATAAAAAGTTAACTCATTTACTTCACAGACACAGACGGATTTGACTTGAGACCGTCCAATTCAGTAAAGGCGACGTGGAAATCAGTCAGGACGCTCCGTGTTGAGGTTTTGAAACATTTGTTGGCATTAAATGCGTCTTTGTTTGGCGACGCGGCTGCCCACATGTGATTCTCTGGCACGCTTGATTAACGGTGCCACAGAGTACACTAACCCGCCCCGACAGAGCCTGGAAGATATAACCCGTTGTGATATGAACACGCTGAATAGACACCATTCGAAGTT